TATATGTGTGTGTGTGTGTGTGTGTGTGTGTGTGTGTGTGTGTGTGTGTGTGTGTGTGTGTGTGTGTCGTGTAATATATATATATATATACATATATATATGTATGTATGTATATATATATATATATATATATAACGAAATGCATGCGAGTAGTCTTATCGTGTAGTGACCGTCGTTATGAAAGCAATTTGCTGTAATTCGTCTGTGCCGTACGTAGCGTTACTGTACGGTTGCAGATCTATAGAACCCTTTCTGGTATATAACACCTAATGCTCGTTTGATGGCTGCTCAGGATGTCACTGGTCGTCACAAGCACTGTTCGTCGTGGTTATTGCATGTTAGGGTTTAGGGGTTTGTCTCCATGTTAGTTGCTCGACTTTAAACCGATCCACTCCAAGCTGCCCGTGTGCCGCATCCGCATTCTCGCACGTGGTCGTTACGTATTGCTATATATGTATAACTAGTTTGTATAATGGTGAGCAATCTACGTTTGTCCACGTGACCAATCGTGGCTAGCTCTTAGTCTTGCCATGGATGCCACTAGCACATACAACTGTGCGATATGCACGCACGTGCTCTGCCATTTTGTACCCCAATCGATTGCCACTCCGTTGTGCACATGGCTAGTCTGTGCGAATAGATCGGAACTCTCGAACGGGATTGGCGAATGCACACATGTACATTTACGCACGAGTTATTGTACACCTCCGTGATTCTCTGATATGTAAACACGTAGTGTATGATTCAAACTAGACACAACCATACGATGGTAGCACGCGTGGGTGATATTTTACCCACAGGCATAGCCATCAGCAACAGACTTAATTGTATGCTGTCGTTTCACTCGACTTATGACAGACAGCGACCATGACCGTAGCACACCTTCACACGTGGCCATTAGGGTTTAGTAGTTGTGTACGCACCTAATTGCCAGTCTCTAATGTTTTAGGGTTTAGGGTTTAGTAGTTTATGTACGCACCTACCTGCCAGTCTCTAATGCTGTATGATTTTGCGGTGCAGGTCAAGGCGGTTAAAACCACGTTACAAACGGAACTGCACAGAGAGGATGTGTGTAGCATCATAGACGATATAAATAAACTGGAGAAACAGAAACTAGAACTAGTATGTAGTTGTCTGGTTATGGTTTGTGGCGTGCGCGTCTCTTTTGTGATTCCATGTTGTGTCAAGTATGTCCACTCTGGGTTCTGGCAATCCGTTAAGTGGGTATGTGTATATGTCAAGTACATTCGCCAGTGTACGCATACTTGTGTGCTGTATGTAGTTATGCATCTATACGTAGCGCGTTTAACGTAACCGAATGCGTAAGAAACTGGAAGTGGTGTATGCGTGTTCTCTCTATATGTTCTGTGGGGTTCAGCTGTGTACCTTACGTTGATCATGTCCAACAATCGTCGGCACAGACAATTCGGTACTTGTTGGATAGTGCGTGTTTGGCACTCCCAGTAGAGGAAAATGAACACAAATGCTAAAGCCTAATTCAACACACACATTGCCCTTTGTAATATTTTGGAATATATATCTCTCACCTTGGCATCGTGGTAGCAATCCAGCTGCAGTCATTTGTATATATAAAATACACGCATAGGACATTGTCGTACGCGTGTTAATTGATTTGTCGATATTAAAATACATGCACGGTGCATTGGCGTACGCGTCTTAATTTTATTACACGTTCCATATCGCAGGCATCGCAGTACTATCAAGCAGGTCAAAGGTTTATGGATGAGCAGGATGTGGATGAGACAGAAATCTCGGAATTAACCAAACAACTCGATGACATCATTAAAGAGATAACCAGCTTAGACGAAGACTTAAAGCATGAAATGCGAGAATAAAAGTAAAGCATGATATTATAGGGCTCAAATGTCAGTCATGAGTTGTAGATATAATCACCGTGCTGGGTTGCCATGGTGATACTACGGAGGATTAGTAACTCCATTCTATACACCGACCATGAGCACGGCGTACGCCAGCAAACAAACGCACCAGTACGTACAGAGAAGAGAAAGCAGGTGCTATGCCACCAGTACTTCACTCAGGAATGGGTGTGTGTGCTTGTATGTGGCTACACGTTGCAGTACCCAATCGAACAGTCACAGTCGCCAGTGCGAAGGGTGCTCAGTTCACAGTCTCGCACATAATGGCCGCCTCCGAAACCGCACCCGTGTATTAGACACGGTGGAGACATCCGCTGCTATGCGTATGCTTCGGTGACTGAGATGAAATGATGATGGACCCCCCATACCAAATTCATCTGTCGCTACGCAGCCGATTAACGGACACACTGCCACGCACGGCTGTTGGATTGTTGCGACACTGTACAGTGAGCACACACACAGTACCTGGCACTACTGCCTGCGTACGTGTTTAGTATCAGCCAGTTTGCAATTAGCCACACCTCGGTATACATGAACTTGTTGTTGGCAGTAGAAAGCGGCGGATAGGATCCCTCCAATAGATGGAATGCACGAGTGCGAGCGCATGATGTATATACTGCAAAGCACTGGTACGTGTCCATGTGTAAGTATGTAAGTAAAAGCAATATCCGGCCTACACAAGTATGTATTCAATGGTGCTCAAAGTCACAGTTGTTCGCTAGATGTGCTACTACGTACGTTGCTATGAGTGTGTGTCGGAATTCAAATTGAATATCGCCAACTTACAATTACGCTTGTTGATTGGGCATTTTGATCTAGGGTGTTTTACTTGTAGCTAAATTCAACTTTTATACATATGAATCTATTTTCCACCGTGTCATTTTTTCCATATTATTTTTTATCTACAAGCAGTGCATGTATACAAGACGCGTTACAGATTCCTACTGTATGCGTACGTGTGTGTGCCACTGGCAACTTCACTCTTCTAGGCCCGGCACTCTTCTGCATCTACCTTCTTCTCGCAAGGACAAATCTAGATGCTGACAACACTTATTAGAATTGCAGAGACGCCGCGGGCTGTGGTGGATAAGCCCCACCAGTTATTTGGGGAACCACACAGCTCTGTGTATTTACAGGCGCATACACGCATTTGCCTGGTGTGATGTTCTTGCTCTGCATGTAGCTGACCACCTGGTCAGGAATTTCTCGAAGGGTAGCCTCAGCGATGTCGTTCATGTTAGTGAACTGTCTGAAGGGTACGAACTGAACCGTGTCACGTATCATGGTTTTGCCCTTAGTATCAATTAAAGGTGTAACGTCAGCATCTAACTTGTCCATTGAAGAGAAGTCTGCACTGCCCACTCCCACGATGACTATAGAGATTGCCTTAGCGGACGCTTCCACAATGGCATCGACAGTTTGCTGCAAGTCACAAATTTCGCCGTCAGTGAGTATCATCAACACCGTGTACGTCTGGTTGCCCTGGCTACATCCCTTGCTATCCTTCGTTGCACGCTTGATCACCTTGTTAAAGTAAGTAGGTCCGGATAACTGTACATTCTGCAATGCGTGTGAGTAGGCACCAAGCACTCCACCTACACCATGCGCCGCTGGGTTGATATTGCTGCCGTTCAATGGGAAACAGTGCGATGTCTCATTCGTGGCGGATAGATAGCCGCCAAAGCCAAACACCGGGAAATTTTGATCGTGGTCGTAGTTGGACAGAATTTGTCCCACTGATTGAATAGCGCGTACGTATTCATTTGGTGCTTGCGGGTTGTTGTAGTGCAACGACTGCGGGTATTTCACATCACCGTTGGAAGCGGTGAAGTCGACGCCGATCATCAGATTCATCTGAAGTCCTCCCCGAAGATAGTCTAGGAAGCCTGGTTGAGTGCGGATGTCGCATTTATGACACTCCAACACGCCCGAGTGTTTGTATTTCTTCTTCTTCTGTTGCTTTTTTTCGTTGATCAAGTGCATTGCACGACCACTCTGTAACCCAGCGATGGAGGTGGTGCAAGAACCAATGAAGTCCTCGCTACCATCGGCATCGTAGTCCAGACAGTCGATACGCAGCGTGCGGTTTATATCCCCATTAGCCAGTGCTTGTAGAGACACGGAAAACTGCGGCCACACTGGATTGCATGTGTTCTTGAGGTAGTCTGTCTTGTAGACTGCGTCAAACTTGCCGTTTACTCTCTGTCTGTATATGCGCAAGAAGGGATCGCTTTTTCCGAATAGCCCATCTTTGTTATCAAGTCCCGAGGCTTGAAATTCAACGTTCACAATCTGAATTGAGTCTACTACTACCTCAGAAGACACAAATAGCATGCCTGTCATAGAGCGCTTATTCTTCCGTTCCAAGCGCAGTTCCCTGGACATACCCGCACTTCCTATTATCTCACCTAGAGTACACTTAATTTCACCGATAATTTCTTGATCATTTAAAGCACCGTGAGTTTCATCCACATCTACCACAATAAACTTGAATTCCTGATTCTTCTCAAACATGTAGTCAACTCGTATAGACGTTGCAAAGACCGGATTCAAGTTATCCTTGATAATCTCGGTTTTACCAACGAGTATATCGTTCTTGAGCGCGCCACCCTCGCAAGAATACAACCAGATTTGTGGATCTGACTTGGATCTCACATCTAAATCAGCGAGGTCCTTGCATTTGAAAAACAAGTCAACCTTGGGTCCAATTATCTGTGCCATTCTGATCCTATATTCTTATATGGCTGACTGGTCTATAGTCTGTACCTGCACGCCTTTTATAACCACGCCCATATAATTGTCTCACGATGAGATGCGGTAATGAATCAATGCCGTCGCCAGTGGGACATCCAATCGACTATAATTTTTAGCAAAGAAACAGATCAAGAGATATGAGTCATACTCAAATGAGAATAAAATACAAAACATGGCAGCGACAGCAGCAGCCAGGCTACCAGAGCCTCAGCGGCTCAGTCCTCGGGGGTCGGGCCCGGGGCTCAAGCTCAAAGTATTTGTATATATAAACAAGTGTGTTAACCCTAAAACACTCATCGACTTCTGACTGGTAGGCTACAGTACTGAGGGGCAGGTCATGATGCTGACGGTGATCACTGATCCAGAGATCCAGACCGTTACCCGTTGCCGGCCGCAGCGGCGCCAAATTTCTAGACAAATAAACAACAAAGTAAAAGTAACTCGACCAATAGAATCAATCAAATGTGAAAGGAAACAAGAAAAACTCTGCTACTTTTACAATCATTGGATAATACCACAGTGGATACATATTATTTTTGATTTTTGATTTTGTTATGATTTTTGTAAAAACAAAATATAGTACCTATGAAACTGGAAACAACAAAATTAGGACCGTAGGCACTGGAAATGCTGTTTAAAAAGAAACTCACACATGTACATGTTTGGTATAGATAGTATACATATAGCATACGTAGATATATGTGTGTAATGGATATATAACATCCAGAATCCATCT